ACTTCATATTTCATTTCCATAGCGCAATTTTATACTTTAATCTTATTAGACCGTTCATTTTAGCCAGCCCCCATGGCAGGGATTCTTGCAAACTGGGGATGGGTATTCAGTAACTGCGCTGCAAAACCTTTTATTGCGACAACTGTAGATTGTAAGAAGGAGAGTTTTGAGGCTTATATTAATTTTCAGAGTGCCACCATTTTTAAGGGGTTTTTTTTCCAAGCCCAGTTCACTGCTTGGGATATACCTTAAATCAGCCACGAGAGGATCAGACAGTCCGTGCTAATGCATTACTTAGAGAGACCCCTCCAACTTTAATCTACAAAGACCTGCACTTGGCTTTCATGTTAGTGGAAGTCCCCCAACTACGCGGCGGGGTTGGGAAACACCTGCCTGCCACTGAAGTCCTGGCCCAGATCCCTGCAGGCGACAGGACGTACGACCAAGTGAAAACCTCGCGGCTAGCTAAGAGTCACCGCTTCTCGGGAGAAGGAAGAAACCGGGCACTTGAAGCCTGCCTCCCCTACAGCCCCGTGCACAGCGGTGCGGTGCAGGACACCAGGAGAGAGCTCTTACCTTTGCCAGACGTTCTTTCTTGTCCCACCAGTCGTCGAACGCCCTGAACGCCACCACCTCGACCATCTTGCGGTTCAAGTCCCTTTTCATGATTGCTTTCAGTTCTTTCACAATCACCAAGAGGACGCCGTCCACGGTAGCTTTGTGCGGGTCTTCCTTCTTTGGCTCGTAACCCGGCGGGGGAACGGAGGGGTCAAACTTGGGCAACGGGGGCCACTGCTGCCCGCGGCCAATGACTGCCCCCATGGAGAAGGGGCGGTAGGGAGGAAGATTCACAAACTGCATCCGGCCCCCCATGAACGGTGGGTACTGGTAGGTGTTCTGGCCCTGCATCATCCGGCTCAGCATCTGAGTTTGCATCTGAAAGGACATGGGCATGCCACCCCACTGGTTGCCCAAGACGCTTATCATATCCACCTGCATGACGGGAAACATGCCCGGGTGGAACGGAGGAAGGGGAGGCAAGATGTGGGGTGGGGGGACCCCAGGCGGTGCGGGGAGAGGAGGTGGAGGGACGGTGACCGCCGGGTGAGTGGGTGGAGGCGGCGGTGGCAGAGGCGGTGGCATGGGGAAGCCTGGCTGGGGCGGGGGCGGGGGCGGAAGAGGCGGGAACCCCGGCGGGGGCATGGGTATCGAGGGAGCCATCACAGACGAGTTGTTGACCGAGGAGTTCACCACGATGGTTTTGGCACACTCTGCACTGGTGATCGGTGCAGAATTCATTTCGTCGTCGGATATTTCCATGTCCTCCCCTGACGAATGCTGACCCTGCGACAGAGGAGAGAAGGAAGAAGAAACACGGGCTTTTAACTTCGGTAACGGTATCTCGAAGGTAAAACGGCTGCTTGAAACAAGGATCAAGTTTCGGTAACGTTTGAATTGCAATTCATCTAAAGGAATGCAATGTATGGGAAGGTGGGTCCCGCCGGGTACGGGGCCCTTCTGGCTTGTGGTAGAGGACACACAGCAATACCGGGAAGGGCTTAGGTAGAAGCTGTCCGATAGAGAAAGGTCACTACCCACCTGGACCGCGCAGCCTGTTTCTACGCAATGCAAGCGAGCGCCCTCGCGTTCTGTTAAACACACACGGCCCAGACCTCGCTCGGTGGGAAAGACACGGAGACTTTAGTTACAGACTATTGATAAACTGGAAAACAGAATAAACTACAGAAAACGTAACGGATATCCAATAAGGCAGTGCTTGCATAAGTTAAATCATAATCCCTAGGTCTCCCTCGCAGTCAATATTTATCCTGCACTAGAAGGAAGACGTTAGTCTCACATTAAATGTTTGCTGCTGTTGAACTGAGGATTTGGAACTACCCCAAAGTGGCTTAGCCTTAGAGATGAACCTCAAATCCACTTAAAATGTCTGTGCATCGCACACCCCTCCAATCCTCTGAGTAGAAGAGAGGGAAGAGAAAGAAACTCTGGCTCCGTGTCCACGTAGGACAAACGCTGTTGAACCGCACAGACTATGGACGTAGATTTTGCACTTTATACAGAATCTAAGTCCCACCTCAACAGTCAAGGGCGCTATTATGCAAATAAATTAAAGAAAAATCAAGGGCACCGGCTTGTTCTGAGATTCATAAAGCTCCTGCTGGAGATGCCTTGCCGCAGCAGAAAAGTAACTGGGCGGCTAGATCCATTCGGGGCACGGTTACACCTAACGAGATCTCAAGCGCCGGGGGGTACCTGAGGCTTGCGATCCGCCTGTCCCGCTGGAAGCGGAGGTAGGAGGATCAGAGCCTGCCCACCACAAATACAAACACAGAGCAGGGATTTCCAGCAACAAAGCACGAGGGACGCACAACGGACAGAGGCAGTTTAATCAGAATATCACAGTGGGATGAAGCTCTTTATTAACCGGGTCTCGGTCCTAACACGCTGAGCAATGCTACCCTCTCTCTGACCCCGTAGGGAGGACAGCGGTTTCAGCCTGCCTTCTTCCGGCTAACAGCACTGAGAAGTAGGACCGCGGCCAATGCGTGAGCACTGCTGGACCCACTTCCTTAGACATTTTTGCAAGCAGTTCCTTCCTCCCAACAGTTGTGCGCAGGAAGGCAGAAGCAGCAGCCGACCCATTTGCCACAAAGTGAACTGAATAAAGAGCCGCCCAACCCCGCAGCCCAAGAGACGGAGACCGGTCGAAGCCCGGCGCGCCTGCCCCCGCTTTGCAACAGCCGCCAAGGAGCTCGCAACTGGGAGTTGTGCTCGCGGAGGGGCAAACATGTTGGCCAGCC